CAATGAAGAGCAAAGTGCAAAGGAAGGAGAGCAGGAGAGCAATGAGAAGAATGTAGGTGAGGTTCCTGTTGTTGGCTTTGACTATGGGAGTGTCCTTGTGTTTAACGAAGATCCCCAGCACCCCAGCTGAGATGAAAGAAAAGAAGAAAGCAACACTTGTCAAGGCAATTCCCAAGAGTTCTTCATAAGACAAAAATGTGATCCGTTTTGGAATGCAAATATTTTTAGCTTGATTTGGGTATTGATCTTCTGAACACCAAAAGCAGTCAACTGCATCTGAAAAAGAAAGCATTCCAGTGATAGTTAGAAAGTTGATAAGTGAGGAGAACAAGCTAACTTTCAACATTACCTCTGAGCTCTTTTTATTTTTACTTCGATGAGTGAAATATGATGAAGTCTGGATGTGCACATACGTTGATATCCTTTCTGTAAAGGAGCCTTACCATGAGAAAACCTGATGAATACTTTTACAATAATACCTCTGATGTACTACAAGTGTAAAAATTCTCTGTGGAACAAAAGAAAGGAGGAACTTATGACATGATTGAAGGTAACTGCTTTTTCATGATTATGAAACCAGCCTATGTTTTCTTCTTTGAACATTCCTTTGCGGGTTGCCAAATAGTCAGTTCATTACTCTACTTGATGATAAGAATAGGAGGTAGATTTGTTGCTATTAGATTTTTTGGTGTTTCCTAACAGTCCTCTTTTCCCATAAGTCATCCACGTAAGGACGTTCTTGCCCTCCCTTCCCCATGTTTGGTCCTTCATGGATATTGCTTCATTTCACAAAGCAGGAGACCCTTCTGGAGAAAACCGCTCTACATGGGCTTGTCAGTATTAACTGCTGCATTCTGAGGAAGTCATGACCAAGCAGACTCCTGAGAAAAGGAGACTTGAGAATCTATTATTAGACCAAAAAGAATTCTTGCACTCTGCCTACTCTAGCGCGTTTTGTTTTGAAACAGTAATCCCCACCTATCTTGAATGATGAACAACTTGTTAAACTTGTAAATTGATTCACAGAAAACATATTAGGAATTTCGTTAAATGACATCTCTTACCTGTCTTATTTGAAATCTTGCCTTTTGGACACTGAAGGCAATCATAGCAGCAAAAAGGTTTGCCTTCTATTTTTATCTTATTAGAACCTGAAAAGCAATGATCATTGCACGCAGAAGTGGGTTGTGCCTGTGGATAATTAATAATGGAATATTCAGAAATTATTCCTTAATATTCAGAAATTCTTGTGCATGACTTGGCCCATTAGAAGTTGTCCAAGCTGCTCTGAAAATCAATTTTCCATTCAAGCTCTTTTGAAATTAAGATTTCCAATCTAAGAGGGACACTCTAGGGGAATCATGAAGAAGTCTAAAGACTGTTATAAATATTATGACTTTCACCACATTCTTTATTATATAAATGCAAGAAGCAGGCCGGAGATGTGCCGTATTAGGTGGAAATAGGAACCTTTATTTATTTAATATTTATTAAGGATTTATAGCCATAGACTAAAATAAAATTAAAAGCAGGATATCCAGAGAAATAAATTGCCTACTTGCAGCAGACACTACATATGCCTGTGTCACCTTCAGTTTGGATGGGCTCTGTTTAGGTTACAACAGCACAGAATTTGGGCCCCTCCTAAGAAACGCTGCCTTCTGGATCACTTAAGAGGAAGTGCATAGTTCCCTCTTGGACCTGTCTGAATTGTGAAGATTACAAAAGATATTAACATTATGGTATAATAGGGATAGATTGGGCATTTCAAAATTTCTGTGCAACTATCTCAATGTAGTATCTAAATATATGGAGAAGTCTCTTGAATGGGGAACTTTACTGGATTTCTTAATGAAGAGCATGGAACATAGAGCTTATAAGCATGTCAGTTTGACCGTTCTCCCTGCTGATTTTCATGAGATGGAAATCTGGCCATTTCAGGAACTTTTTCAAGTTCTGTTACCTCCTCAGTTCCCTTGGACAATTGGATGCACTCAATGACTTGGTGTATAGGAGCCATTCACAGTGATAAAACTCTAGACTGAAGTTGCTGAAAACTGAATTCTAATTTGAATAATGAGAAAATGATTCCAGATATTTTGAGAAAAGGGCAGAGACTACCTGGTTGAACATGGTGGGCCAGATGATGTGCTCTGTAGAAATGGAGAGCAGCTTGTTTGGGGGAGCAAATGGATCTACTTTTCCCACTTTGACTCGATGGAAGGACTGGTTGGGGAAAGTGACCCAGTTGATGACATCAAAGCCAGTTGCTATTTCTCCAGTTTGGAGAAAGAAAATGTTTTCTCCAGCACTGTTGTTAAATGAAACTGTTCTCAGGTACTTATGAAGCTAAAGAAAATTAAATAAAAAGTGATGAGGATGTACAAAAGTAATGAAATGCATATTAATGATGTATAAATGTTCCTTCAGAATTCCCAAGAATATAAATATTAAGATGCAATGAGAAACTCTTTC